AACTGTCTGTTTAGGCAATTACGAAATATGTTGTTGAGCTGAGAGTCGTGGCTGACTGGTTGAATGAAGCTAAGGCTTATCAAGACAGGGTGACAAAGGTCCACGTTTCATTCCACAGGTGGTGTTTTTGTTAAGATTCCGTCTTGGAGGTGCTAATTTATTAATTAACATACCACTATTCGTTGATGTTAGCACCGGATTACGGGGTTCGGCATGTTTAAGTTATTTGGGGTTGTTTTGTCAATATTGTCAGTGGCACAGAACTGTTTGTCACAGAAGTTGGTCTGAAATCTCAACACAACTATTTATGGGGATAATTCAATTTCGTTTGTTGCTCGACTTGATTTATCTGATATTTTTCGTAAGAAAGATGTGATATATTCTTGCATTTTTTGGTTGATGCACATCATCGTATCATCGTATCGATGCTCATTATGTCAGTCACTGGATTGTCTGGTCCAGACAGATTTCCAGATTGAGATCATATAGCTCGAATATTGCTGAGTGCGGCGGGAACAACAAACAAACAAACAAACAGATACTGCAGCTAGTTGGCTGTTAATGCGGTTTTAGTTCAGAGCCTAGTTTACAAACATACTTGATGAAGATGTCAGATCAGAGAGTTGAACATGTTACACTTAAACCACACAATTTCAGCTTCACATCTACAACCATACTACATGGGGATGGTTATGAGGAAAAGGATAACTACGGTTTTCTTGTGGATCCATCAGCCCTAAATATCAATATAAATTATTGGAATCAAATTCAAATTTCTTTTCTAAAAAAATACCTTCAAAAGAAAATAAATGAAATTCATTGTGCTCATTTGGGAACAGACCTGGGTATTTGCCCTGACAAACCGGCACTTTAACCATCTAGCTACCCCAGGGTCCCGTTCCTCAAAGCAATCGTAGCCGTAAGACGATCGTAACTCCCATACTTTAACATAGACTTACGACAGTCTTAGCGCTAAGATCGCATTGTGGAACGGGGCCCAGCACTCTAAGGTAGTAAGAATGATGTGATATTTGTAACAAATGTTATATTGGGGAAAACACTTTCTGAGTAAAGTACAGATTTTTCGTGAGTTGAGTCCCTTTCGGGATTCGAACCCACACTGCCATACTGAGGTACCTTACCGCCAGCGCAAAAAGTCAGCGATCTAACCCACTCAGCCACCGAGATATAACACTTGTTACATTTGACGACTTTCTAAATGGCATTGTGTGTTCATATGTGATATTTAGTTAGCATTTCTGATATTAAGTGCTTGTGTTGTTGTCACTCACTATCACAGATCTATGAACATTTTGTAAAGCAAAGCCTGGTATAAGATTCTGGCATTGTGTGTATGATAAACTGTGCAGCAGGCTACGACCACTGTCACATGTCAATATGTGAGATTATCTTTTCTCAGCACCAAATCGTGGAATGTGTAAGAAATATTAAAAACTAAATTAAGATTGTAATCTCCTGCAAACTTTTCCTCATATTTGTCAAATATATTTCAAAAATTTTAGGAAGAAAGAGAATATGTTATGTACAATGTTTTCTCGGCAGGGGTGACAGGCAGGGGGTCATGAAAAAAAGATTGTAGCTGTATTGTATGCCGAAGTGTCATAAAGATTCGAAATATGCCGTTGGGGACAGTCTCATATGTCTGACTTTCTATTTTGACACAAGGTAAACAGAGAATGTCATGTTAGGCCTAAAGTATGATTTTGAACAAAGTTATGTGACAAGGAAAATTGAAACTTTTGAGACAATCCCCAAACATTGTCAGTGAGAAATAAGTCTTCGTTTTGATGAACTCGCATGAAGAAAGAGTGACATATGATACAGGTTTTAACTGACACTGTGGCGGATCTGACACTTTATAAGGGAGTTACAGTCCATGTTTACTCTTTGTTGTTGTGATATATAAGAAGGAAAGTAACAGAATATCGCCCGTGTAATTCAATTACTGTGTACAGAAGAAAACCGTTTTCAATTCAATAGAAATTCAAACTTCAAAGATGAATGTGAAAGGATAGAAAGTTCTTCTCGAGTTTCTAGTTTCAAGTTATGAGGTCTGTAGGATTTGATGAGCTTAATGGCTTATACAGCTTGTGGGGTGTACATGAATATTCAGATCATGGGGTGTACACTTATGTTCAGGTCATAGGGTGTACACGAATGTTCAGGTCATGTGATGCACACGAATGTTCAGGTCATGTGTACATGAATGTTCAGCTGGTGGGGTGTTCACGAAGTAAGATCTATGTTGAGACAACCGACAGACACTCTGTTACTAGAATGGTAACTTAAGGTGCGAACAGGGTCAAGCAAGTGACGTCACATCAGATATTATGACGTCATGATGTACAGACTGACCTACCAACTTCCCCTGTACAAGACGGCAACTGGCAAATCAGATAGCAAGATTCTTTGTTACAGTTAGTTTAGGATTTGTTTCAAGTCAAGATGGAAGAGGTGTCTAGGCTGTGTGTAGCGTGAGTGACTTCAATCTTCAAGCAGTATTCACGGCATATCACAGGGACACCAGGACAGGCTTATAACATTGTACCCGGGGTGGGGTGGGTGGGGGGGTGTTTGCTATATCAGAAACATTGGTGAAAACATTTGTTGATTTGAGGTTAACTGTGGGATTAGTTAAACATAGTTCTTGGTAGGCATCCAAGATACAGGCTTGAAATCTTAACCACTATTAATGTCCCTGGGTCAAGAATACTAGCTAGACGTGGACATTAGTTGCAGGAACATGATAAACTCTGCTATGACATCAGGTAAATTCCAAATGGCAGTCCCAGAATTCATTTTGAATTTTCTTACAGATAAGCAAATTTACTTACACATAAGCCAAAAACTGATCAATAAATAAAACTGAAAAACTAGTTTCTTAACTTGAATATATTTTGAGAGTATGGGTATTCTGACATAATAAGTCATAATGTCCTCATAATATCTGTTTGAAAGCACATGTGGGTCATGATAGAAAAGATCCTAATTTTATTTTTTTTGATAGACAAGACCCTGTATCTTTTCTTTTGATGTGTCTTATTTTACATTTGGTGACTGAAGTTCTATATCAACCATATGGGAGATAGTCTGCTACGACCATCACCTCTCTTTATTCCCTGTGACCATGGAGTGGACAAGAGACATTGACCATTGTCCAGTGTCTGATCCTGGTGGTCGCCTGAGGTGATGATCCCCTGTTTCCTCTGACAGGCCCACAATGGAGGTGTTAGTCAGATGGCTATCTGGCAGATCTAGTTTGATGGTAGCCTTCTAGACATGGGCAAGATTAGTAGAAAATGCAGGCCACTTTGTCTGGCTTGTTTGATGAGAGCTGAAATGGCCAACAGAAAGAAAGCAGTTGATAAGGGATTATGGTAATGAGAGGGTCTTGGAATGCTGGGTGGTTTTGAGACTGGTGCCAGTGGATGGAGGAAGCATGTGCCAGGTACGGACATGTGTGTAGGTCTCACCATTGACCTACTTCCACAGTGTTTAATCAATGACATTCTTCCTGGTTTGGGGAGGCTGGTGGAGTGATACCTCCCATGAGATGGGACAGTCATATCAATGCCAGGGGAGTATTCATGGGATCACAGATCACTCTTTGGTTTGTGGTATTCTGTGACTAATGAATGGTCTCATTCTGTGACTAATGAATGCTAATTGCTATGGCTAATGAATGGCTAATTACAGTGGCAGGTATTTACAAAGTTCAGGAATGTGGCCTGAATTGAAGTAAGGTTTGTAATCCAGTTAATGCGAATCTTATAATCCCAGATTGTAAACAACACTCCTGGACTTCAGTGTTTGTCCTGTGTCCTGGAAAGTGACGCTTCCAATTCATCTGAAACTGTACCAACCTTATATACCCAAGCATCAGAATCATATCAGAGTCTGCGACCCGTGAAGATCCGTGGTAGAATAGATCTCCAGCAAACCATGCTTGCCATAAAAGGCGACTATGCTTGTCATAAGAAGCGACTAATGGGATCGGGTGGTCAGGCTCGCTGACTTGGTTGATGCATGTCATCCATCCCAATTGCGTGGATCGATGCTCATGATGTCAGTCACTGGATTGTCTGGTCCAGACTTACTTACAGACTGCCGTCATATAGCGGGAATATTGCTGAGTGCGGCGTTTAACAACAAAGAAAACAAAACATTCATCCATACAAACTTCATTCATGTGAATCGAAACAAGATTATCCTCCATTGACTCTCCTCACATTAATTTTGGTAAAACATAAACAAGTTATGGAAATTTACTTTCTTGGCATCTCATGTCTGGCAATATAAGGGCAGTACCCCTTCTGAGAGATGGTTGCTGAAACTTGTGCCATCCCTTTATGATGATGGTTAACATCATTATCATACATCGTGGCCTTGGCTACGTGAAGCTCCTGAAGGATGTGCTCGTCCAATATAATTACTGGCCAGAGAGCCCCTGTCCACCTAATGCCTCGTTATTGATGTGAAGCGAGCAGGCAGGGGACCAATCACGACCTTGAGGGTGAACAACAAGGGTAATCAGCTCAGGGGAAACAATCATGCTTCTTCTGTCATGCTTGAAAACAATTTCCGTAAGATCATGCTGGTATACTCTTGATGGACATCTAGGATTGACTACACGCATGATGTGTGTGATTGATAGTCGGGGGGAACTATGTGAAATAAATAAATTGTTCTGTCCAGAACATGCTGAAAAAAATAAATTTGTCCACAGATTTTATTAAAACATGTGTCCACTTGACATAAAGGATGCTGTCTGTTGCCCCCTCTCTCTCTCTCTCCCCCCCCCCCCCCCCCCCCCCCCTTCTCTGTCTCTTCCTCCCCCAAACTCCTGCACACGCACACACAAACACACACACTAACTCCCTCAGGTTTTGCTGCAGCATAGCAAGAAGGTGATGTGTTAATATTTGACCCTTGAAGATGTTTTGCATTTCAATTTTGTGACCAAGTGCTTCTTGTTTCAGTGTTTGAGAAGAAGGACAAGATAGTGATGGTGATGGATTGTGCTCTGGGCGGTGAGCTCTATGACTACATTAATGAGAGGCGCCGGCTCACTGAGAAAGACGCAAGGAGAATTTTCAGGCAAATCGTCTCAGCCATCTATTACTGTCATCAGGTATGGCGCCAAGTCACAAATATCAATCTGGGTTTTTTTTTCACGTTGCACTTGTCTGTTCAGTTGTGTGTTTTACCTTCTGGGATTGCGATAACTTAATTTAATTTTGGGTATTGATAGCTGATAATGCTACTTTAGCATTTTTGGCGCTGATGGTTGATTGCTAGAAGGAACCAAGTCTCACAATGTGTCTGTTTCCATGGAGATTATGGTCAGAGTGGTGCCAAAGGGGAACCCTGCTGTTAAAGTGAGTGTTGGAGGCTAAAGGCAGACGGTTTGGAGACAACTCCACTAAACCCTACAGCCTTGCTGTTTCCATTCCTAAGAAGTAGACTGTTGTGGGTCAATGCTCTTTAAGTCGCCATGAACTGAGTATGAATATCAATAGCACTTATTTTTTTCTGTTCTGAAAACAAAAATTTGGGTTTTGTATTCTTGGTGTGCCCCACATAAGGAGAGTTTAACAAAACTTACAGAAAGGTTTGTTTGTTGTTTGACACCACAATCAGCCATATTCAAGCTTTATTACACCAGACTGCATATAATCAAGTCTGCTCCAGACAATCCAGTGATTGACATCAGGAGCATCAATTTACGCAATTGGGACATCATGACATGCATCAACCATGTCATCGAGCCTGACCCCCCGATCTCATTAGTATTAGTCACCTCTTACAACAAGCATGGGTTGCAGATGACATATTCTAACCCAGATCTTCATGGGATCATGTAATTGATAAGACATGAAAATGATTGTGTGTCTGCTGACATTGAGTTTGTTTCAGTATTTGAGTATTGGTGGTTGGTTATTGTTCTGAATGTACTACAGCATATTTACTGGATAACATTTGACGATTGATGACTTTCTTTCAGAATGGTGTTGTTCATCGTGATCTCAAACTGGAGAACATCATCTTAGATGAACAGTCCAATGTCAAGGTCAGTAGAATGTCATAGCTGAAGATGTGATATATCTGGTATAATGGTTGAAGCAGCATTAAATTCACTTGCTCATCCACTCTCATAAGTAATGACCCGTGCCGCATAAATGTGTAATGAGTTGAATCTGTATGTAAATGCTTCTTTCTGTCTTCTGCTTCATTCGATAAAAATTGCCAATTATTGTTATGCTTTATTCAATAAAAATTGTCAATTATTGTTATGCTTCATTCAATAAAAATTGTCAGTTATTGTTATGCTTCATTCAATAAAAATTGTCAATTATTGTTATGCTTCATTCAATAAAATTGTCAATTATTGTTAGGGAATGTTTGCATCTGAGGTAATAAGTATGTCACACTTGTATGTTTGGCCGTCTTCAGACTCCACCTTGCCATCTTGGGAAGCTATAAAATTATCATCTTAAAAGTAGGTCATGTGACCTTCTGGAATCTTTTTCTTTGTGCTCTGTTAACAATAAATATAAGTATCAGCTTGAGGTCTTGCTTTCACGTAAGTTCAAACACCTTCTTACCCCCTGATATCTTTTCCAGATTGCGGATTTCGGCCTCGCCAACAATTTCGGGCATAATGAACTGCTTTCTACATTCTGCGGAAGCCCCCTCTATGCTTCTCCGGAAATAGTGAATGGTCAACCCTATCATGGCCCAGAGGTCAGTGTAGGACAATTGTCCAGTGGTCTCGCCTCCCTATTGATATCGCTAGTCTGTATTACACGCAAGGATACTTGAGGCGGGAGCTTAATGAAGAAGAAAATTCATCTGTAGTGTCAATAATCAACTTCTTGTGTAGAACTTCAAGGGAATCAATTGATTTTAATGGTTCTTGCTTCAGGGATGGAATGTGAGACCTGGAAATTAATGAACAATTTGAAGTGTATTAAACTCTGGGGAGTGTCAGGACATTTTGGTATTTGTGTAGCACAGAGGGAACAACATAGTGGGACTGAACATGTAAGAACATTGCCACTGGGATGTTTTACTGATGAGGGTAGAATGTGGAAATAAAACATTGTCACTGGGATGTTTTACTGGTGAGGGCAGAATGTGGAAATAAAACATTGTCACTGGGGTATTTTAGTTATGGAGGTAGAAAGTAGAAATAAAACATTGTTACTGGGATGTTTTAGTGATGGAGGCAGAATGTGGAAATGGAACATTGTCACTGGGATGTTTTACTGATGAGGGCAGAATGTGGAAATAAAACATTGTCACTGGGATATTTTACTGATGAGGGCAGAATGTGGAAATAAAACATTGTCACTGGGGTATTTTAGTTATGGAGGTAGAAAGTAGAAATAAAACATTGTCACTGGGATATTTTACTGATGAGGGTAGAAAGTAGAAATAAAACATTGTCACTGGGATGTTTTACTGATGGAGGCAGAAAGTAGAAATATAAGATTGTTACTGGGATGTTTTACTGATGAGGGCAGAGAGTAGAAATAAAACATTGTTACTGAGATGTTTTACTGACAAGTCAAGTTCATATCAGTGTTTTCTCCACATTTTGCCACAAGATTATTACCTGTGTGACAATCAGAAAGAAACTGACATGACCATATTTACATTGCACTGTGTACACATGGGTCTCCAAGAGAATGATCAGTATCGTGTCATCGGCAATTACAAACATGACTCGTGTCATTGCAAACACTTCTAATTGTCGTCTATCATAGCTACGACCTCTCCCAGGCGGACTTGATTGAAATCTAGCGTGTGATAATCGGCCGTGATCTCAATCCCCTCCCAGTGGGGATAGTCGGGGCTTGTGTGACCCCGGTACATGGGTGGATGATAGATCGGGTTGCAGTGTCACTGCACTTACAGATTCCCCATACAGGAGACTAGTGCAGTGTTGGCCATGTCCAAAAAACTGGAAATTGATTAAGAAATGTCAGCATGATGCCATGCAGGGTCTGATTCATTAGTACAGGGTCATTCTCTCTCTGTGTGTGATTGTTACGGCAGTGTCAGGAGTTTGTGAAGGGTTCGTCAGTATGACCTCCTAGTCAGATCATTATTCCATGCCTTATATCACATGCATCCTTTTTCTGTCACTGATTGGTTGGTGAAGCTAACATGTGACTATGGATTAAAGTATTTGGTATCATGACACAAGGACACTCACATAATTCTGTAGGCCGAGACAGGCGGAGGAGAACTTTTAAACCGGTACATTATTTATCAACCAAGAATCTTTATTGTGTGTACAAAGTTTAATCAGCTCCTGTAATGCTACAAACATGTAAATGCTCTTAAGATTGGCTTATCAGATTCACCAAGTTTTTTTTAGATCCATGTTTAAATGTTTTCCATTTTAGTATGCACTTTTTGAAGAGGTCTTAAACCCTACTAATTCTCCATGGCCAAAACTAATTTCTTTCCAATGTTTAGTTTACTTTAGATACATTTGTGACAGTTCATAAAACACATAGTATTAAATAAATATTACTAAATATAACACATTACAAAGAGTATTAGTGAATAATTTATCACAGTAGTGAATAAAACACAGTGTAAGAAGTATTAATGAATAAAACATCACAATTAATGGATAAAAAGCTTTAGATATACCACTCAAAAGAAGTTAAAGAACACCTGATTTTCTTAATATCACTAAAGTTAATCTGTTATGTCATGACAGATTAGGGGGCACGGGTGGCCCAGTCTAAGGCGCCCCGATTTGCTGTGCAGAGCTGCGTCCCTTGGGCATGCCAGAAACCTATGATTGTGGGTTCGAATCCCGGTTCGCCCGATTATGTTTCTAGGTTTGTCAGCACGATACCCATGCTCGTGCGTTTCACCGAAGTGGTAAACGTCTAAGACCTTCATCACTTCGGGCTTTCCTCCCACATTAAGATGACACGCTGCAATATAACTGTAATACTGTTAAAAATGGCGTTGAAACCCAACTCACTCACTCACTCACTCACTCACTCACTCACTCACTCACTCACCCACTCACTCACTCACTCACTCACTCACTCACTCACTCACTCACGCACTCACTCACTCACTCACTCACGCACTCACTCACTCACTCACTCATGACAGATTGACTACAGTCATATGAAAAAATGGGTTTTTCTGTTACTTCTTTTGAATAGTATATGATATCCATGTACATGATGTAAGGGACTTGATGCAGAATAATAGGATGTTCTTAAAATACCAATGTCTAGACTATCCGATTAAATAAATACCGAAAAAAGATTCACAATTTCTTCCTGCCAGTTACTCAGAAATTGACAACTTGTATGATCTTCCGCACCGAAAAACCTGTCCGTCCAAAAACCAGTCTCCCCGATTGACAGATTCCTCCATCAAACATGCCACATCTGACATGTAAATCACCCATTTTGTACATCATCGCCAATTTAGTTCTAAATTTAACCCCGTTGACAGCGACATGGCTATTACTGCAGTATGTCGGTGGGTCGACATTTCTTATTATTGTAATCTTTGTGTAAAGAATGATACATTAACCATCTCCTCCATGAGTTTTGACGTCTTCAAGGAGTTCTGACCTATTATGTCTAGTCATATGGGTAATAAGGTTTGGTGGAGCAGTACTTGAAAATTGAGGGTGTGAATGGGCGCGTACATTTTCATGTTCAACTTGGCATGAGATTAATGCCCTGGATTGATCGTCAGCCATGTGTTAAAGTTTCTATTGACAATACATACCTGTAGGGTTAGTAACACCGATTAAAATTTTATTTGGTATATATATTTACGGTATGTCGGCTAAAACGTTTTCCTTTGAGAAGGACCATGCTTTTATTTCTTCATTAATTTTAGGAATTGTGTGGTTTGTTTGATGGGAGATGTTTGTGCTTTGATTAGAAAAGGGACTTTGATAAATTTCCTTTCAACATTACTGCCATGTCACTGTCCTGGGGAAGAGGTTGTAAAACGCTGTGCAGTTGTGTTCATTAAGCATGCGACCGCCTCCGTGGTCTAGTGGTAGAGCATCCTCCCGGAGAGCGGAAGGTCCGGTGTTCGATCCCCGACCGCGTCATACCAAAAGACGTTAAAAGATGCTACTTGTTGTTACCCTGTCTGGCGCTCGGCATTAAGGGACTAAAACAAGGACTGGTCGGCTCGGAATCAGTATACTGTGTCTGAGTGGGGTATTCATGTTAAACTGCGGCATGGTATCTCAGTGAGTTAGCACTATAAATCAGCATCAGTCCGGACTAGTACAAGCAGCCACACAAACACTCACACATACATGCACGTCCCTATATAAGTGCAATAATCTTGGACGCATTGTTAAACCCCATTTCACCTCACCTCATTAAGCATGCCAGTTCTGTTCAGTCCCCGGCCGTGTCATACCAAATGATGTTAAAAGATGGAACTTGTTGTTACCCTGCCTGGTGCTCGGCATTAAGGGGATAAAACACTGACTGGTCGGCTCGGAGTCAGAATACAGAGTCTGAGTGGGGTGTTCATGTTAAAGTGCAGCACGGTATTTCTCACTGCTTGGTTTAGTTTTGAAAAGATGGTTGGAATGAATTTTGTAATGATGAATGGGGTTTTGTGTCTTCATTTCAACGTCAGGATTCAAACTCAGACCTTATGTAGAAGCAAACTCATTGTAAATATCAACAGCAAACAAAACAGAAATATTTAAAGTTACTTATAAAAGATGTGGTCAATGTTTTGTCCCCCTCCAGGAAGAGACAAAGAAACTGCCACTTGAACCAGGAGAGCCTGTACACCCATCGAATGTTCTACATGACATGCATGACTTGCTCTGCTTTAGTCTATGCTGACTTGCAAAATTAAAAAATAATATCCTGATCGACTAGATTTCACAATTTGAAAGCTGCACCAAGCTCTCACGTTAGCCTACTTAGTTTGGAGATTAAAATCAGAAAATCCTCTTTGTATTTAAGTGCAGTGAACTTTATAGGGGAATATCTTTTAATGCCCAGAAGATATATAAGCATGATATATGAATATGTATGGGAATTTTAGTTGGAGAAAAAAATAATTGATTTTGTTTATTTTTGGAATTTCTACACAATTTATTTGCTATTATTTGTTTTAATACCTGCCTTCATTCAGTCAGGTTTGTTACAACAATTGAAGGTGTTATTTTATTTCACTGCTAATAAAGGACTGTATCACATTTTGAAGACCCTACCCCTATTTTAAGAATCTGAAGAAATTCTTTGTTGGTGGAGAAAACTCCCTATAGTCAGACAGACATGATTTAACAGTTTAACCCATATGAATGACCAAATAAGGCTTTGAAACCAAATTTGGAAAACTTTTCTATCACTCTTTGATCCATTTTGTGTTAATTATTTTTTTGAAATTTCAGAATCACAAAATGGTTATATGCTTCAATTCAAGGTGAAATTGTCAAATTTTTCAATATATGATACAAGTTTGTGAAATATCAATTGTCACTTGTTCAAGAAAAATGAATGTGTGAGTGATGGCTCCTCTAACGACTATGTGTTTGCTGCAGGTGGACATGTGGAGTCTTGGAGTGGTGCTGTATACCCTGGTGTATGGCGCCATGCCCTTTGAGAACGCCAACCTCAAGGTGCTGCGCAAACAGATCTCGAGTGGAGAGTACTACGAACCTTCTCACCAATCAGGTAATGCTTGGGAGAAAGGATAAAACTACTTTTATTATTTAGTTAGAACATAATTTACGTATCCAGGGCCAGATTCCACAGAATTGTAAGCACTACATCAACTGTTTCTCCCTGCTTTAGCACAGATTTTGACAGTGTAGGGAAGCAATCATATAACCATATTAGATCACTGTATCATCTGGTAGCTTTGGTAAGGGTGAAATTATTTTATCTTTTGGAACGAATATTTACTTAGCCAGATTAATTTTTGGGGCAATGTTCCAAGTGGCATGAGGCAAAATTTCAAAATTAAGAATGGCTGATTAAATTTTCTATATTGGTACTTGAAACATAAATATAAACAAAAAGATTATTCTCATTTGAAAGATAAGACTCCTAAAATGATCTTGCCTTTATTTTTCTTGGGAGTTGATGTTTTAGACTGAATGCATGTTGTATGATAAACTTTATGAGAAATGAGGAAAAATGCATTTAATTCATGCAGGCATTCTATGAACTTGCTTTTAGTTAAATTTATGGAATACAGTGATATGACTAGCTATTATGAAATCAATATTGTGTATCATTAAGTTTTGGGAACATCCCAGTCAAACACTTAGTAGCATGTACATGTATGAGTGAGTGAGTTGGGTTTTATGCTGCTTTCAGCAGTATTCCAGTTATATCATGATGGGCATGATGGGGGGGGGGCAGGCTGCCAGAAGTGGCTAGTATGTATGAAATGCTGAGGTGATACGATGTAGTGTTTGACTGCATATTATACTGAAAAAAAACTTTTTCACTAAATATTGCCGGTGTGTGTGTTAAGCTTAGTGGCACTAGAGTCAAGAAAATATGGTATTGACAACAGCTGTGCTGCAATGGTTGTTGTACGTTTCTTTTTCATCCTAACAGAAACTCTCTTTTTCCAGGCCCAGTGAATAATGAGTATTATCATCCTGTTCTTGTTGGTTTGTTATCTAGGTTATATCTGTGGGTTATATATGATTTGGACAACCCCAGGGTATAATGTGTTTATGTTTGACAGGTCAACGGAACAAACGACATGTATTCATGTTGGCACAGGTCATATGACCACAATAACAGATGAATCAGGTCACACTTGTTTTCTACACAGTGACCTACTTTTTATCTTCGCTGAATGATTTTTTGTAAAAAGAGCCACATACGCATGTTTTGTATTTTCTGCCTCCATTGTGAAGATGCATATCGCTTCCGATATCTTGCATGTTTATAGAGCTATGTATGTTAGCATTAAAATATTGCTTTATAATGAGGCAGAGAAAGATTGTAGAGTGAGTGAGTGAAATTTAATGCTGCCGTGATCAATGTATCAGCTATTTTACAACAGCCATAAATAATCAAGTCTGGACCAGGCAGACCTCAGATCGAATGATGGCTATTGCATGAACATTTCACTAGGACGTGAGGTGCCATTTCTTGGTTTTAAAAAGGCTTTGCACCTGTTGCGCAAGATCAAAACAAAATTAGTTGTCAATTTCATTTTGGTCATGTTTCTAAAATGTCAAAAGATATGACACTTATAAAAATTACATCATTCTCACAACCAAAGCAAAAATGACCTGTGTACTAGAAAACAAACAAACCTACAGAACCTGAATATCAAATATCAAATGTTGTGTTTGTTCGTTTCATACCCTCCTCTCCTAATGTCAGAATAATGTACAGCCTCTTTGTATGATCTTGCATGAGACTATGATGATGGTGAGCAGAGCTTCAAAGCCTTGGGATTCGGTGCTTGACTATCTTGTCAGGAACTTCTTCTTATGTTCTCCTACTGTCTGTTGCAGAAGCTGGTGGGCTGATTCGGCAGCTGCTCAGTGTCAACCCAGCCAAGCGGGCCACCATGGAGGAAGTCCTCGGGCACTGGTGGATAAATGAGGGCTACAGTCACACCCCTAATCTCGAACCCTATCCCCGGATTGCCGTACCGCCCAGTAAATCTTTACCTCCTCACCACAGCTACTCGTCTGACAGTGAGAGTGAGTATGAGACCCGCTACAAGAGTGGATCTTCCAAGGGAATACTGAAAAAGACTGTTGAAAGTTCTTTCGACGAGGATGAAGCTCTGTTTGATATCGTGAGCTCGAAAACATCTCCTGATGCTTGTGATAAAAACTCTGCCCCTTCCAGTAGTGTTAATATAGAACCCGATGACCAACCGTCCATTGCATCACGGGAATTGTGTGGTACTTTGGATAATAATTCTGGGGATGAGTCGAAAAAGGTTTTCGATTCTGAGAGGAAACCGCGTCGTGGGATCCTGAAGCGACGCGGAAAATTCTCAGGGGGAGATAGTGGTTGTGATATGAGAGACGATTTGGCCCGGAAGATGGAAGATGAAGAGTCTCCCAAACGTGCGAGTGACTGTGAAGATCTCAGCTATGAAGACTGTGATATAAATATAGACTTGTCAAAAACTTCATCCAGTACGCCCAACTTGGGGTCATGTGATGTGATGGAGGAATGTGTTGTCCATACCCTCCCTTCACACAAGGAGACTGATGTCGTGCAGAGCGGCAATGTAACAAGCTCAATCAGTATATGTATTTCCTCTGACAGAGAAAATTTCTCAAATAATCCACAAACTGTTTGCACATGTAGTACAACAAAAGTTGTGCGTCGGAGGAAAGGGATCCTTAAAAAAGGCGGATCCACGATGGAGGATCCAAGAAACCGCCTCAGTGTTGGGAGTCTTAGCTCCAATTCTTCAGCCGATATCCTGGACCTTTCATTCGACAGCGCAGATGGAGAACAGTTCATAGGAAAGTATGATCGTCAAAGTTTAAAACGGGAAAGTCAAAACATAAGTCCTTTGGCTACAGAGGGACCTAGATTTGAAGCTTTCCCTCTCTCCGATGACTTTAGTGCCTTGAACCTTGAGGGCGGGTCACAGCCTCAAACCAAAGCTCTCTATGATGACCGAATGTTTGATATTGAAGAGGCTCGACAAGTTTATCGTCAGGCGCTCGACATCTGCCATAGAGTATAACTGTGTCCTTGACCTTGTGTATTGTGTGAAGCACCCAATGTGTCTGTGGAGTATGTGTCGGAGGGTTCTGATGCATCAGGATGTCATCAAGACTGTCTCTTGAAATGAACACATTAACTTTGTTGAGAACATTGTTGAGCGTCTATGGGAGCCTAAGTGACTGTATGCGATAGATTCCGCAAGACTGATATCATATGTGTCCATGGAAACACAGCTTTATGTGGCTATCAAATAGTCCTTGATTGTAGTGCATGTTTGTCAGTAGAATTTTGCCAGTGCTTCAATTGCATTTTGTTGAATTCATTTTCAGTTCCAAGATCAATTCTCAAAACAATAATTCCTGATTATTCACTAGATATTTGAAATATGCCTAAAGAAATGTAACGTATGTTTCAAGCGGCATTGATGTCCACGCAAACATAGTTACATCTCCAGCATATGGTTGGTTTCTATGTGTTTAAGCAGGATTTATCTAGGATTCCAAACTAAGTACCTTTGGTGGGCAAATTGGGGGAAAATTGTGATATTGTTCAAAATTCTGAGAAACCGGGTCATTATAATTCAAATTGGGAATTCATACTGTCATTTGCTAGAGACTTGGCGCCGAATATCCACCTCTAAAAAGGCCTAGATAGATCTGTATAAAGATTTTGGAATGACATCAGAAAGGGAAACGATTGTAAAATGTGAATTGAAGCAAGCATGGTGCTATATTTGTTCTCAATCTCTCCTGAGTTCATTGTGATTTGCTCAACTTCAAACATAATGAATGTTATATTGTATTACTTTGAGGCAAAGTAATGTAATATATTCCATTACTCTATGCTATGGAATGCATTATTGTATTGCGCAATGCTAACTTAATGCATTCTCAAATTAACTCAAGTTAATTCTCAAGTTAACATAAACATAATGCATTATCAAATTTGCCAATGCTAACGTAATGAATTATTGCAATACTGTTATGCATTACTGCATTGCTCAATGCTAATGGAATGCATTATTGCTTTACTCATCCTCATTGAATGCAATATTATGCATTAATGCATTACTCAGTACTATGCATTATTGCATTACACTATGCTTACGATGCATTAATGCATTACTCTATGCTTATGTAATGTATTACTCTTTGCTAACGTAATGTGAATGTTGTCTCCATATGTGGATGTTTGCTCCAAAGCATATTCCTGCGTATGTGCATTTCTCTAAGATTTCACAAAATGTCTTATTCACTTTCCGATGTGCCTCTCCGTATTTTAGTTCAGGATTCATTTTATAATTCACTAACTATGCATTTTTAAAAAAAATGCATATTATCATGAAACTGATTTTATACACATGGAAATGAAATACAAATTATTTATTTTGCACTGAAGTATTCTGTCTATAAATTCATGTTTCACTTTCAATGTAGAGTTGGTCCTTTTTTAGATATAATCATATTATGCAACTACAAAACACATTCCGATTGTATTCAGGGTCATCCGTTTTAACGTATTTTCCTATGATAAAAAAATTGTGGAGTTCACAAGGTGACAACCACTGACCTTGAATAAGTGACCTTCACCTTCCAGAGTCAAATCTTTTGTCTTTGATCGTGTGTTTCTCTGCATACATCATGTTTTGTGATTGGACATGCTCTGCTTTGAAATCTACCGTATACATAATGGACACTGGACTCTAAACTTTTCAGTTTTGCTATGCCAAGATTCTGATCTCATTTTTCGCATTTTCGCAATGATCTAGGTGGGCCATGATTTCCTACGAATATCATTAAAAGGAAATTATGCAGTATAATCAAAATTTATCATTGTTGAAAGACAAAGCAACAATTCAACAATGACTTTAAAAGGTTGATTAGAATGATTTCCTAATTTAAATGGTCTATTCTGCATATTACCCTAATTTCAACACATAAACATGCATTCCCATGTATCTTGAAAAATATGTGTGGCAAGGTTACTATTGTTTTGTAATATGATGGTTGTCATGGCATGACGTCATGCTTAGTTCTTGCCATGGTAAACTTTGAACTCGGCAAAGCAATGGTAGACTTACAAAAGAATTCCCAATAGGGTTGCACAAGTGAACAGTGTACAGATCTCTTAAAGGGACTTTCTGACTTTAAATAAGCACTGCCAATGATGACAAGCATCTCAGATGAAGTTAAGGATCAGCTGACTTTTTCATTACTACAGCGTTCCGTCGGTACAACGCTACCTTTGGGGTCCAGATAATTGATGAGCGTTATGGACGATCAGTTTGGGTATTTGTTGACATTATTTTTTGTCCGAGTTACTGATGGATTAATCATAAGCCACCTAGGACATAGTGATTTATCTGGCGAAAGCAGAACTGATAAGTTAGTGTTTGTTGTGTTTGATGTGTTGCATATAAGATGAAACTGTCCCCTTATGTGTTGATTGTAGAAGTCGATTTGAAAGTTAAGCAATAACTGAACATGTTAATTGCATGGTTTTATATCATTTGTGTTGTAATGTATTTTGTATCATTTATGACTTGTAATTTATTGATATTTTCCCATCTCTTACAACTTTTGTATCATTTCCACATGATGTTACATGAATAATTTTAAGAAATCCTTTCTGAGGTTCATTTCTATCATTTATTTATTTATTTTCTCTTCACTGCCAAAGAAGCAACTCAACTTTCACATCTTTGCTTTTGTATATTTGGTTTTTATGTAAACAGCCGGTCTGTTATGTCTTGGTGTTCTGATCTTAACCAAACATCATTTTCATTTGATGATGAGCAGTCAAAGTGATATATTCCATTATAAAGGTACAAATATTTACTGACAAGATAAGCTCTAATTTGCACTTCTAATTTTTCTTTCTACCCTTTTAAGTCTTAAGGACAGCTATTTGTACCGGATGCTTACCATTAGCCAGTAGAAATGCTTTTAGTTTGTCCCTCCTTAAATGATATGGGCATATTTGAAGAACAAAAAAATTTTTAGAAATTAAAAAAACATTTATGTATTTTTAGTTATTGTGATGTTCACATTCATGCATGTTTTTTGTGAAACATTGAAAAACAGTTCTGATTTTATATGGTCATGTAAATGTCTGTGAAGTGGATGCCAATTTAGGTGAAATGTTCTCCAAATTGTACTGTGTATTAATCATGAGGAGGGACCTGCTCTATGTCATTCAATAGGACATTGATCTGCTCTATATGTCATTCAATAGAACATCGCCTCACTGTCTCGTGTAGAATATGAACGATATGCAATATGATGGAGCTAGTATTTAGCACAGGGACAGTGGGGTGGGATGTAGCCAGCCAGCTGCTTGTACCCCGTGTATCTGTATCATCTGTATCATCCAACCGGAGCCTCGTGCCCTAGTGTGCCTGACATTGTGAGTTATTTGGAGCATTTAAGCTTTGAGCAGTGATGAATAAACCATTCTTACATGAATCTTTGAATCTTTTGTTTTGTCAACTTGTCTTTGGTGAAAAATATGGAGGTTGTGATGACTGCCTTGTCTGACACAGGTGTGGTAGATCTTTACCAGTCTGTGTTGACTTGAGCAGGTGTGTTTGCCAGTGCTGATGTGGGATTGGATCTCAAATACTGACATTAGTGTGAGGTGACTTTGCCACTCTAATGTGGGATTGGACCTCAAATACTGACATTAGTGTGAGGTGACTTTGTCACTCTAATGTGGGATTGGATCTCAAATACTGACATTAGTGTGAGGTGACTTTGCCACTCTAATGTGGGATTGGATCTCAAATACTGACATTAGTGTGAGGTGACTTTGCCACTCTAATGTGGGATTGGACCTCAAATACTGACATAAGTGTGAGGTGACCTTGCCACTCTAATGTGGGATTGGACCTCAAATACTGACATTAGTGTGAGGTGACTTTGTCACTCTAATGTGGGATTGGATCTCAAATACTGACATTAGTGTGAGGTGACTTTGCCACACTAATGTGAGATTGGACCTCAAATACTGACATTAGTGTGAGGTGACTTTGCCACTCTAATGTGGGATTGGACCTCAAATACTGACATTAGTGTGAGGTGACTTTGCCACTCTAATGTGGGATTGGACCTCAAATACTGACATTAGTGTGAGGTGACTTTGCCACTCTAATGTGGGATTGAACCTCAAATACTGACATTAGTGTGAGGTGACTTTGCCACTCTAATGTGAGATTGGACCTCAAATACTGACATTAGTGTGAGGTGACTTTGCCACTCTAATGTGGGATTGGATCTCAAATACTGACATTAGTGTGAGGTGACTTTGCCACTCTAATGTGAGATTGGACCTCAAATACTGACATTAGTGTGAGGTGACTTTGCCACTCTAATGTGAGATTGGACCTCAAATACTGACATTAGTGTGAGGTGACTTTGCCACTCTAATGTGGGATTGGACCTCAAATACTGACATTAGTGTGAGGTGACTTTGCCACTCTAATGTGGGATTGGACCTCAAATACTGACATTAGTGTGAGGTGACTTTGCCACTCTAATGTGGGATTGAACCTCAAATACTGACATTAGTGTGAGGTGACTTTGCCACTCTAATGTGAGATTGGACCTCAAATACTGACATTAGTGTGAGGTGACTTTGCCACTCTAATGTGGGATTGGATCTCAAATACTGACATTAGTGTGAGGTGACTTTGCCACTCTAATGTGAGATTGGACCTCAAATACTGACATTATCCCCCTGAACTAGAAATGAATTAGGCCAGTGAAACCACCACTGATCTATGAATACAGATTGAGAGAGACAAACAACTGTCCACAAGCCTGTACCACAAGATGGATGACTTCAACTTTCCAATAGTCAACTTCCCTTTTATGTCAAGCAATATTCGGGGAAGCTCAACCCTTTGGCGTCTACATTTTACACATTTTAAAGTACAATCGAGCATGCTCTTTGTGAAAAGATGACAAAGGGTACCTTAAAGGTTGTTTCAAGGACATCCTTATTTTACTTGTAAACAATTGACTTGCCTTTGCATGTGTTTGTGATGGGTGCCACCGTTGGGGCAGGATACACTCACCTTTTCAGGAACACCTGGTATCACTATTTGATAGTAATTCATAAACACATGCTCATGATATACGTACATCAAACCATAATGAAAATGGTTTTTGTCCCTAATGTTTTTACAGTAACTTTAATTTGAGACTTGTGGAGGAATATTTAAAAAGCTATGTGTTATCCTGGCAAGAGCACCTGGATGAATGAACTGAAATCCAAACAATCTTTTGGAATCTTGAGGCACCTGAGTGAATTCTGTGCTTGGTCACTTGGGCAGATTCACCAGCGATAACTTGTCCCATCTTGTTACACCAGCTATATGACGTCTGTCCGTAAATAATCGAGCCTGGACCAGACAAACCTCTGATTGATATTGTGAACAACGATCCACGCTGGGGTATGACGAGCAGTCAAACCCGGCAGGGAGCTTGACCACCCGATCCATCCTGTCCCCTTACGACCAACAAAGGTCACTGGAGACCCATTCTAACCCGGACTCCCCATGGGGCGATGGTCAATGTTTCACTGTAATGGACAGAAAGACGAGGGGCATCACACACTACATGGCTAAGCCCAGCTTGTTTGTTTATTTGCTTTATTGTCACACTCATCAATATTCCAGCTATATGACGGTGGTCTGAAATAACTGGGTCTGGACTAGACAATCCAGAAATTAATGTTGTGATCAACGTTTCACATAGTCGCCTCTTACAAAGTTGCTGGGGACCTACTGTTACCTCAGTAAACTTAGGACACTGGCCGGATGTTGAGAGAGAAGACCTTACCCTGATTCCATTTTCACTAGTAAAGAACTACGTGCTGCTCCGTTTTTACTGTCCGACATCTACTGGTCTTTTTGTTGTTGTTGTTGTTGTTGTTGTTGTTGTTTAACGCCGCACTCCGCAATATTCTAGCTATATGACGGCGGTCTGTAAATAATTGAGTCAGGACCAGACAATCCAGTGATTGACATCATGAGCCATTGGGATACGATGACATGCATCAACCAAGTCAGCGAGCCTGACCGCCCGATCCCGTTAGTCACCTCTTATGACAACCACAATTGCCTTCTACGGCAAGCATGGGTTGCTGAAGACCTATTCTACCCCTGATCTTCACGGGTATACTGGTCACTTACATACTACTCAAAAGAAGTTAAAGAACACCGATTCTTTTTCATATGACTTTAGTTAATCTCACTCATGTCATGACAGATTAACTACAGTCATAGGAAAACATCTGCATGACACATTAACTATAGTCATAGGAAAACATCTGCATGACACATTAACTATAGTCATAGGAAAACATCTGTATGACACATTAACTACAGTCATAGGAAAACATCTGCATGACACATTAACTATAGTCATAGGAAAACATCTGCATGACACATTAACTATAGTCATAGGAAAACATCTGCATGACACATTAACTATAGTCATAGCAAAACATCTGTATGACACATAAACTTTAGACAAAACAAAACAATCTAGTGTTCTTTAATTTCTATTAAGTAGTATAATAACAATAACATTCTTATTGAGTCCGCCGCAGATATTTCACCTTCACAGAGTAATATCAAGAAATATATTATACCCCTTTGTTTAAACACGTATTTTGTTCGGAGGACTGTTTCTAACTCGTCACTTCAATTCGCAGCTATGATGAATTATGGCATGTGGGTTCTGAGAACAGACGTTCATACCACAAGCACTTCACACGACCATCGGCCTTCACAAGCTAATTGTAGGAACTATACTTTATAAACCCATGTTTCAAACAAAGGTCATTTGATATGTTTCGCAATGCGTAATTCATATTCGAAGCTATGGTGACAAAAGGATTAATGACTTTACAGTATTATTTCGAGGAAGCCACGCCCATACCACGAACACATAAGTGGACAACTTGACTGACGGGAGATAGAGGCATCCCCACGCGTGATAACTTGTTGTTTTTGTTCTACGTGGAAGGGGGTATAATTGGGAATGAGATAACAATGTTTCACGATAACGAAATTCCGAACGTACATACCATGACTGTATCTCGACTGTCAGCGTTATTGGTTTGTCATCTTTGTAATCTCAGTCATACGTCCGGCGTTGACAAAGACGAGAAATGAAAAATAAGTTTTGTTTCTCGAGATAAAGAAGCTATTCGACAAAATCAGAGACCTCAGTGGTGCTCTGGCCAGTCTGCAGTCCTATAGTCAGTTTGATTCTAGCCTTTCAGTGTCTTTTTGCTTTTTCGGCTAACTTAAAGTTAGGATGTTTATCAGTCTTACAGATTATGCTTACACAAAGACAATAACTCAGTTTTTCTTTTGCGGACCTCAGAGGTGCTCTGGGCAGTTTGCAGTCCTGTAGTCAGTTTGATTCTAGCCTTTCAGTGTCTTTTTGCTTTTTCGGCTAACTTAAAGTTAGGATGTTTATCAGTCTTACAGATTATGCTTACACAAAGACAATAACTCAGTTTTTCTCACACGGCACTATTTACAACGTTTAGACCTCGTCTGGAAATGGGCTAAAGCCCACGGAGAATGGTATATGTTTAAGTAAGGACCGTTGGACATAGCCACGACCTTGAAGGAACACAGTGTTCAGAACATCCAGTATGTCTTGTCACCGATTCTAAAACCCTAGGCCCCCGTTCCCGAATATCCCATATGGACGGCCCCTGAGTAGTGCTCGACAGGTTTATTAATTCATGACTCTAAAGAACTTATCTTCAAGGGCTTGCCATTATACGAATGACAGAAACGTTCATGCCTGCGATTAGAAAAATAGGAGACCCACTTAACAAACAAACCTCTACTCGTGTCATATTTGATCCAAAATGTTTGTTGTTTAACGCCGCACTCAGCAATGTTCCAGCTATATGACGGCGGGCTGTAATATAATCTGGACCAGACACTCCTGTCATTGACATCATCAGCATCGATCAACGCCATTGGGATACGATGACATGCATCAACCAAGTCAGCGAGCCTTACCACCCAATCCCGTTAGTCGCCTGTTACGACAAGCATAGTCGCCTCTTAGGGCAAGCATGGGTTACTGAAGACCTATTCTCCCCCGGATCTTCACGGGTTGATCCAAAATGATGTAATTTGTAACGACATATAGTATTTTTCTGTGCAATAAATACTAGTACATCAGTGTTTTTATTCATAAATAATACAGGTATAAAAGAAAATGATTATATAATTAACAACTCACCTTGTTAATGGCAAAGCATGTCGAAAGATGCAGTGATGAGGATTAATTGCGCTGACAACATGCCACACAGCATTGTTAATGACATCAACTCTCAAAGAAGAAAAAGTAAGTGTCGTGATATTAACCTTCTTTTCTGCATCATGTCATTTCTTAAGTTGACACAAACCACAATGTGCTATTTTGGTACT